TTGATCCAGTCTCCCCAGCTGTAGGTCAGCGGATGGTGGCCCACCTATGACTGCCGAGACGCCATCAGGGGACCCAGACAGGACACTGCCTGTGTTGTCGGCATGCTGCCCCACCCTCGCCTGTCCCAAATTCTGAAGTGCCCAACCCCCATCACATCTTCAGCTACTCAGTGTCAGATATCCCATGCACCTGCAGGGAAATGTTTGTGCGTTCAGGAGAAGCCATGCCCAAGACTCAAAATGCTCATATCCATTAGGTCTGGTTCTGCCTCCGGTGAAGTCAGGCCGGTTCAGGCTTCATCTCCAAGTGAATTAAACAGTAGGCTTTTGGATTTCAGAACTTTTGGGATTCTGAAGTTATTCCTGAGGAATCGGGGACCTTCTAACCACCCCGATGTACCTTGGAGAAGGCCTCAGAACAAGCCATCATTTGCCTTGGGGCCAGAGGCCCTCAGACCTGTGATCTTCAGTAGATGGATGAGGCGTCTGCATAACAGAGTCCTCCATCTGCCCTTCCTCTGCTCTTCACTCTCTTCCTGTGCAGGGTTTAGGACCAGAGCAGGTGGGTGGAGACTTCAGATTTGCCTACATCCTTCTTGGAGCGATCCCAACCTCTGTAGTCATGGGTTCACCCCCCCCCCCCACCGCTGACATTTAACAGCTGTGTACGCTGGGCCATGTGCCTGTACTTTCTTTGCCTCAGTGTCCCGATCTGTAAAAGAGGGATGATAATATACTACCCCATAATGAGCTTGAAAGAATTAACCACTTGCAGCTTTTGAAACGTCCTGTCCTGCTCCGGGGGTCGAGGAGAGCCATTTGCTCCATGGACCCTTCCTTCTCCCGGAGCCACAACCTCTCCCAGCAGCCGTCTGCAAAGCTGTCGCCCAGAGAAGCCGCTGTGGCTCTTCCACCGGGTTACCTTTTGTGTTTGCAGAAGTCATTCTCACAGTCACTTTCTCACCATACCCACACGGGAAGGGGCACCAGGCAGACGTAGCCACCCTCTGCCTTCCGTGATCTTTCATTTTTGTTGAAAATGGTCAGTTTTTCTAAGGTTCAGCTACATTCCTCCTAGCTCCTGGGCTGTTAGCCGGCTTTTTAATTTGCATGGTGTGTACTTGTCAGGAGAGATTTCATTAAATTCCCATAATGTAGCCACAGTGCACGTTATCCACACTAGAAAGCCATCTCTGGGCTTTCTCAGAGGCCAACAAGTTCTTTATGACTTTGCAGTGAATTTAAGTATGTGGAGGCATGACAAAACTTCACTATTCCATACATGTGCCCTTTGGGCTTGTGGTATTCTGGAACACCCGAGGAAGCATCACTAGATGCTGTCACCTGACCACCGTCTGGGCACATGGAGTGTGTTTCCTTGCCACATCCACTGAGGTTAAGGACGTGGGCTCCTGAGTGGGACTGCCTGGATTCTGATCAAGCTCTCCCACTTAACTAAAAGTCTAGACTTTCTGTGCCTGATTGTTCTCATCTGTAAAATGGGGGTAATATTGTGACTCCATCACAAGCTTGAAAGAACTCAGTATGTGGGAAACATGTAGAAGGGTTCCTGGTGGTCGTAAATCCAGCCCTAGGAAAGGCGGTGTGCAGTGCTGCTATTGGCCACTGGGAGCTGGGTTGGGTGGCTAATGGGAGCCAGCCCATGTTCTCATGCCCAGAGCTCCCAGGAGAGCACTGTTTCCTCACTGCAGATCTTGTACAAGACTCCGACCTTGCAGTCAGGGACACATCCATTTGGTATGATCAGCACATATTAGAAAAAATACTTTGGGGACTAAATGTGTGTTTGAGCTCCAGAAGAGGCCCACCCCCACTTCTTAAATGCAAAGCCCACACCATGCATTTGCAAATGGTGCTGTCCTTGAAGCCTCTTCCACAAGCTTTGCAAGTCTCAGAGATTCTCCAGGAAGAATCTTCCTCATTGCTGTTTCTCACAAAGGGTGTTTCATTATCTTTAGCCACTTGTAGTTATCCAAAGTCTGTTGTCTTGAGGCAGAATTCTGGGGTGACAAAAACAAGTGACAGAGGGTGATGGGGCAGTCGGGTCGGGCAGCATGAGCCCAGGCGCTGCCAGATTGCACATGACGCCTTCCCCACAGGACTGGGGCCTCTGTGGCTTTGAAATCTGGGGAAAGGTGCCTCTTCTGAAGGGCCAGGGCCCTGTGGGTCCTGGTAAGTGGTGAGCAGCTGCCTAGACTGATGGGATTTCGGTAACAAAGATGTTAGCTTTTTATGCATCGTGCAGGGCTGTTACCTTGAAGACAAAGTGGCATCAAATAGACACCACTTTGTATTTTCCCAGAACTGCCACCTGGCTTCCATTCAGGGATCAAAACTGGTCACAGTGAGCATCTCCCTACAGCTCTCCCCACCCAGCCCTGCCCTGTTGGCAAAGCTTTAGGGTAAATCAAGGCAGATGACCTCCACTTGCTGGGGTCATAGGAACCTTGTGTTCTGGTGGATGACACTCCTTGCCTGTTTGCTGGCCCTGTGCCTATAGCCGAGGGTGCCTGGGGATCGGGCCCGGGGTGGAGGTGAGCTCTGCTTCCTCCTGGCTGCTGCCTCCTGTGCTCTGGGCCCTGTTCTTCCCGCATCCCGCTTGTTTATGGTCTTAATCTTCAAATTCCGCTCCCTACTGTGCAGTTCCATAAACATTTGATATAAATTATTTTAAATTATTTTAAAAGGACTCAAAACTGTCTCCGGTTGTATACCATATTTTACACTTCAGAGACCACCTGCAAAACCACTGTGTTGTCAGAGTAACATATTAGCTGGTGTCCTGGGGTGCCTTTTAACAAGATTCTCCCAAAGTGGCTCAGCATATTTGGACCACCTGTAAGCATGCCAGGGTGAGGAAGGTGGCAGCAATGCTCTGGTGGTGGTGATGGCCTGCGCTCCTCCCCCCTTCCCCCTTCTCCACCAATGGTACACCAGGGTCCAAGCAGCCCCCGGGTCCCACTCTGAGGCTACAGCCATGTGGAGCCAATGAGGGCCTGCACTGTCCCCTTGCCCACTAGTCAAGTGCCATGGCAAGTGGCCTGTCACATTGGGGGCTGTCCTGTGGGGCACCTGGGATTGGGGGTGCTTTTTGGCTGGCCTGAGGCACTCTATCCAGCCCTCCCAGCGTTGTTTATAGAAGCGCCTCTAATCAACGCAGAGCCCCCACCCCCATCACCCACCAGGGGGCCGGCTGCTCAAAATGGCCTCTGCGGGGAGGGCTCTCTTCCCAAATCAGGACCTAAAATCTACAGTCAGAGGAGCAGCTTAACCCGCTTCTCAGAACTCCATAATCTGATCAGACATATTGGATTAGAGTAGAGAACACAGAAAATGAGCTTGATTTAATAGTTGTGTTTGGGATTCTGCATGAAGAAATGAAAGATTTGCAAAACAGCCTCTGGATTACTTTAATTAGAGGTTCTCCAGAGCTTGTGTGGCCAGTGTGGAGCAGTCACAGTGGTAACGTCTTCACAGCATTCACCATGACTCGATACTGTATAACGGAAGTAAAACATGGTGGCAACCAGAGCACTGACCTGATTGCCAGCTTTTGCTTTGGTCCCAGTTAGGGGGGCCACCTCCTCTATAGTAAAGACCTAAGGGAACACAGCGACCCTTGTTCCTGCGCATGGCAGAGCTGAGGAGTTAGCACAGAGACCTTGCTGTATGCAAAGGCTAGAATATTGACTTTCACCTTGTACAGAAAAAGCAAGCCGACCACTGCTCCAAACAGGTACACTGTTCTATTTGGCTGCCTTGTAAATATTGTCATAAAGGGAAACCTACAAAGTGCATTGATAATAAAACACTAGTGGTTTTTTTTTTTTTTTTCAATTGGGACGCCTCACAAAACAAACAAGGAATCTGTTGCTAATAAAACTTGAAAACTGCTTGGGCACCTGGGTGGGTCAGTCGGTTGAGCATCCGACTTCAGCTCAGGTCATGATCTCACGGTTCATGGGTTCGAGCCCCACGTCGGGCTCTGTGCTGACAGCTCAGAACCTGAGGCCTGTTTCTCATTCTGTGTCTCCCTCTCTCTCTGACCCTCCCCTGCTCTCTCTCTCGCTCTCTCTCTCAGAAATAAACAAAAACATTTAAAAATTTTTTAAAAAACTTGAAAACTGCTGTGGGCATGGAGGAAGGCACTTGTGGGGATGAGCACTTGGTGTATAACACCAACTTGGAAACCAACTTGACAATAAACTATAAAAGAAAAAAACTTGAAAACTGCTGTCTTACAGCATCATCTCAGAGTGATGTGACATGTAGTTAGCAGCAAGATGAAAATAGTCCTATAGACAAGTCCTGTAAAATGTTAAAAAACTGAAAATAACTGTCCAGTTGCTCACGTCAGGCATTTTTTAAACTTAAAATCATTCTATTAATATTTTTTGTGACAACATAAAACAAAAGCAGCCCTTCAACAAACTGCTTAAATCTGCTTTAGAAATCCATAGTTATTTTGAAAAGTTTACACTGACATCTTGATATAATTGGTAGGATGTTGTGCCACATTTTAAAAATCTTAAGTTTTATACTTTTTTTCTTTTTAAAGTTTATTTATTTTTGAGAGAGAGAGAGAAACCCCATGAGTGGGGAGGGACAGAGAGAGAGGGAGAGAGAAAATCACAAGCAGGCTCCACACCATCAGCACAGAGCCTGATGCAGGGCTCAAACTCATGAAACAGTGAGATCGTGATCCGAGCCAAAACCAAGGGTTGGACGCTTAACCGACTCAGCCATCCAGGTACCCCAATTTTATACTTTCTCAAAATAACAATTAGACACCATCCACTGCCGACAGTGTAGCTTCTTCCGGTTTGGCTCACAAGAGTCCTGAGCATTCACTGGCCTTCACCTGGGTAGGATCTGAACGCCACCCGCCTTGTGAAGCTTACAGGCTCAGGACAGAAGCTGTGCTTCTAGATGCCCTGCAGAGTTGAAGACCTTCACCAATTCCCTTTGTCTCTTTGAAGGATATTCCCCGAGTCCCTCCGGTGGCTGATGGCTACCCAACAGTTTGAGTCTGCAAAGAAGCTCATCTTGCACTTCACACAGAAGAACTGCATGAACCCTGAGAGTGACATCAAAGGCGTGATGCCTGGTGAGTACTGCTCACGTCAGCCCTGCAGCCCCACCCGGGTTGGGAGAGGTGCCTGCCGTCCCGCACCAGGAGTCATCACTCTCTTACCAAGCAGCTGCCTTAGCTCTTTGTCTGCAGCTAAACTAGGAATGTGAGTGAATTGAAATTCCTCCCCACCTTCCTTTGGAGACAAGTGACTTCTCTCCTGATTGAGTCTAATAAACTGTGGCACCCCACATAGCCTGTCCAGATCCAGAAGTGAGACCCTAGCCTAATATGCACCCAGTTGTCAAGGAATATTTGGGAGGGGGACGGCCCAAGTCTTGAACACAGCCTTGCCTGCTAGACAGGTTTATATACCAGCAGAGCCCCGGCTGGGGTGGGGGAGTGGGGGGGGATGGTCCATACTCTGTCTCCTTTCACGAGTATGACATTCATAGATGCCGTTGTTGGTTTCTGTCATGACCTGTCTGTTGGGCATCTGAAGAAGTGGAAAGTGAAGTATTTGCAGTTCAGATCCACAGAATTTGCTTGTGCCAGGAGCATCACCACAAGCTAGATCGGAGCTTTCAGGCTGGGAATCCTATATTAAGTTTCATCAGGATGTTGTTAAAATCCATATCCTTGGGCCCCTCCCAGGTTCCCAGAGATTCTATCCAGTAGATCTGGAATAAGCTCTGAGAAGTTGCATTTTTAATAAGCAGTAGAAGAGATTCTGAGGTATATGGCACACAGACTCTTTGTAAGTCTTGATAAAGTCAGTCCCAAACTCCGACCCACTACAACAACCTGACAACTTGTTATAGATGGTACTATTGTTATAAATTTCCCAGGAACATAATCTGCAGGCCCTGTCCAAGAGAGAACATGCACATTTCCCTCCCATGATCTGAAATTCTATCCAACAGATATTTACAAACACCTGCTGTGTATCAGGCATCAGGTCCTGTTCTAGAACAGAGAAGGAAATAGGCAGAGCCTGGCTTTCATGAGCTCACCGGCAAGCAGGGGAAGGCGTGCAGTGAACAATTAAATGTATAATACATCAGGGGGAATGAATGCTGTCAGAAAAATCCAGAGTGGAGAAATAGAGGGGGGTGGTGAAGTGTTACAGTAAAATGCTCGGGGAAGCTGGGCTCCCAGGTAACAGGTGAGCAGAGACCTAAGTGCAGGAGGAGAATGGACATGTCCATTCACGACGGGAAAGGAACACAGGAAATCCAAATCACACCAGCTGGGAAGGGCTTCTGCAATCATCTATTCCATGGTTCTTAGACAGGCTTTTCATCAGACTCCTCCTAATTCAGGTCTGGGGTTCATAGTCAATAAAAGTTCTGCAGACGCTTGACCAGGTGGCATCCTTGCCTTGGCCTGTACCCAGGATCTGGGAGATGGGGACAGCAAGGCCAGGCAGCCTAGGCGTGGCCTGCCAGGCGCTGTGGCACGGCCACAAGAGTTCAGGAAGCCTGGAACCCTTGTGTTACTAGATTAAGGAAGGACATGAGCCAAGTCTGCTTCACATGAAGAGTATTGAGTGCTGGTGCTTTCCAAAGGGGCATCTCTGTTCCCTTTTTATCCAGTGGCCATGAGACTAAAGAGGGTGACATATACATAGTGCTTATATGTCAGTCACTTTTTCAAATGATTTGCAAATACTTCTATTTAATATATAATCTAAGTGCTTCACATATATTAACTTCTATTTCTTCACAACAGTGCTGTGAGAGAGGGGCTAAAATTATCCAGAATTGAAGATGGGGAAATTGAGGCACAGAGAGGATCAAGTGTCTTGCCGAAGGTCAGACAGCTAGTAAGTAGTTGAGCTGGGACTTGAACCCAGGAACTCCAAGAGAGGCAGCTTCACTATGCTGCTTCTGAGAGATCAGGGGGAGCTCAGAGCCTAATACTGCTACAGCTGTGGAGAAGAATGAGATTTGGATTCATTTCCCCTCTGGGGCCATGTTTGCTGATTTTGGAATGTCCAGCCATCTTCCCAAACTTCTCTGGGCCCCATTCATTAGCAGGTTAATGCTCTTAAGTCTTACAGTATAATTTGTTTCTGGCATTTCCCTAATTAAATCACCACAATCCACTTTTTTCCGGTTAAAATATTGTCTGGGAAAAGCTTGTTTTCTCAGTCCTAATTATACTGATTCATTTTCCTCCTATTTCTGGCAAGTGGTATTCAATCTTTTTTTTGCCTTTCTTTGCTTATGAGTTTTGCTGCTGTTCCAGCAGGAGGCTGGGGAGAGAGGTGGCTTGACGCATGTGATTTTCCCCCGACTTGGGAGGGTTATCACTGCCTTCACTCCCAGGGGACACACGTTTCCCATCTGCCTCTGGAGCTCTGCTCACTGTCAGACACGTTGAAGCCAGTGTCGGGGGAAAGCAGGTGAAGTTGGCTTCATCTGAATCGGCCACTTCCCCCTTTCTTAGGCCGGCTTGCTTTTCTGCTAGGAATCTTTTTCCCATCACCCATCTCATCCACCTGCCTATACCTGTACCTACTAGGGCTCACGTTAGTGAGTCTTCTTGTCTCCGTCCTCACTGCCCCTCCCCTCACATCACCTGCTCAGAAATCCCCCAGCAGCCTCCAGGGGCCTTCCAGCTAGATCCCTAGATCACTTAAGTCACTCGGAGACTCTATGTCACCTCTACTTGCCCCTCCAAGACGCTGCAGCCCGCATTAGGCTCTCAGAACGCACTGAACATGTCCCCCCCTTCAGGGCCGTCCCCACGCCGGGTCCTCCTGCTGCCCCATGCTCCTCAGGGACTTGGTCAGCCCTCCAGTTAGGTGCTTTCCCCATTGTTCACGTGCAGCTGTCTGACCGGTTTGTGTGGCTCCTTGTTGGGGGCGATCGCCCTGCCATGAACGAGAGGTGGCGTGGCGGCCTGCATGTGCAGGGCTAGGCCCCCTGGCATCCTGGCACCAGCAGCGGACCTGATACGAAGCAGGCTCGCCCTTATTATCTACTGAATAAATGAACCAAGGCCTCCCACAGTCCAGGAGGGGGCAGAGCAGTTTCACATGGGAATCAGCTGTGGCTGCTGGACACGTCACCTCTGGGGAGGTGAGAGCCTCAGGCCTAGATGTATATGGGGACTGGGGGGGGAGGGGAGGGCAGGCAGTGCTCCCACCCCTGCCAGCACATCCTTTTTGTATTCATGCCAGAAGAAAACCTAATGTTCCAGAATTGTCCATGCCCTTTCCTTTTTCCAAAGCCATCTTGGTTTATCTTTGAATGTGTCAGGTTTCCCCAGTGGAGTTAGGTAGTTATGTGGATATGCATCCTGAATGTCATGGTCAGTATCATTCCTGCAACCATGAGAGTCACAGGAGGCGTCCAGGTACTGGACGTCCTAATTCCCAAGATTCTCAGCATCCCCTCAAGAGTCCGAGTTGTGCTGGCCCCACCTGTGGCCTGTAGACTGCAGCCCACGGTGAGAAGGAATCTTGGAGTAAGACCCAATGCGGGCAGTCATCGGGCAGAGACTCTCCAGGCATGGGTGACACACTTCACTGGCATTTGATTCTCACCAGAGCCTTCATGAGGTGCAGGGACGATGTGACGATGGACCTGAGTGTGGGGAGCACTGCTTCCAGCTGCCGATGCGGCTCGGGCTCCATGGGAAGGAGCATGCCCTGTGTGGGGAGTGGGTGGCCTCTGTCCTCATGCATCAGGCCCTGGCTGCAGAGCGCCCCCTGGGGAAGCCCGCCTGGCCCAGCACTGCCTGATGGGAGGGTGAGTCCCGCACGAGGCCCACGCGGGGCCTCCCCTGCCCTTCTCAGTCATCAGGCTTGGAGTCTGCCCTCACTGCCCCCTCTGTCTTGTCCATCTGGTCGGCAGCTGAGGCGAAAAGGGTCTGTGAATGACTCCTCAGGGTCCCCAGGTTAGGTGACTTGCCCAGGGTCACACCACTAGCGAGTGGTGACTGCAGCGCCTGTCCTAACCGGAGTGGTTAGAGGTCACTTCTCCTCCGGCTTCAGACCAGCTGCGGTCACGGGCACAGAGAGGGACTCGCCGAGGTCGGTCCTGCTGGGTCCCTTGCCGGAACTTTGGGTAGATTGTGAAGAGTGAACTGTGCGGGATGACTCGGTGAGATCCGTATGGTCGCTCTCATCTGCTTGCTTCTGATTTATCCAGATGGCCAGGTGCCAGCACGTCTCAATCCACAGCTGAGGGCCGGGCTGCATGGGGGAGGCACTGGGCACAGTCCCCACCTCGGAGCTTGGGCTTGGGCCTCAGAGCCACTGCCCTGGAGTGTTCAGTGCTTGCAATTGATAATGGCTGGGGGCGGGAGGGGGGGGAAGAACTGCTCCTCCTCCTCCTGCTGCTCCTCCTCCTCCTGCTGCTCCTCCTCCTCCTGCTGTTGCTCCTCCTCCTGCTGCTCCGCCTCCTCCTGCTCCTCCTCCTGCTGCTCCTCTTCCTCCTGCTACTCCTCCTCCTGCTGCTCCTCTTCCTCCTGCTGCTCCTCCTCCTGCTGTTCCTCCTCCTCCTGCTGTTCCTCCTCCTACTGCTCCTCCTCCTGCTGCTCCTCTTCCTCCTGCTGCTCCTCCTCCTGCTGTTCCTCCTCCTCCTACTGCCTCTCCTCCTGCTGCTCCTCCTCCTCCTGCTGCTCCTCCTCCTCCTGCTGCTCCTCCTCCTCCTCCTCCTGCTGCTCCTCCCCCTCCTGCTGCATCTGCTTCTCCTGCCTCTGCTGATGGTCCTCCTCCTGCACTCCTCCCCCTTCTCTCCCCTACTTCTCTCTGTCTTGTGTCTCATCTCTGATGTTTCCGGGTTTCAGCAGTCACACATGCACAGGGCACAGGTATAAAAGCAAAGCCAGTTAATCCTGTGCCCCATCCAAACAAACGCAGATCATCGTCTGTGTGCTCCCCCTGCACCTCCGAGCCTGGGCTCGAGTGAGCTCCCACTGTCTTCTCCCTGTGATGCCCTCAAGAAGCACAGGTTGGCCCCTCGCCGAGATCTCTTAAATACGTAGAGGTCATGACCCCTGTGTGTCTGCAGGACCCCTCCCCCTTCTGCAGCTGGTGGGAGGGAGAGCCAGGAGGATCTTGTGCAGCCAGAGTGCTGGGCTAGGAAGGCCGCCTGCACACTAAGGGCCGTGTGGGGCTTCATCCGTTCCTTCACCGGGTCCTTGTAACAGTGCTACAAGGTCTGTGCATTGTCCCACTGAACAGCTGAGAAACTGAGGCACAGAGCAGCTTTCCCAAGGAAAGTCAACAAGGAGAATGAAAAGTGGGATTCTGCCAGGTCTCTCAGACCGCTTGATGTATCCCAGCTTAGGCTGTGATACACGCAGAGAAGGCACAGGGAAATGCAGGGTGGAGGAAATGCAGGGAGGTGCTGGCTTGTCAAAACTAAGTAAGCCCCACTTGGTTTGGTTTTGAAATTTTTTTTTTGTTCATTTTCGAGAGAGAGAGAGACAGAGGTTGGGGGGGGGGGGCACAGAGAGAGAGGGAGACAATTGGAAGCAGGCTCCAGGCTCTGAGTTGTCAGCACAGAGCCTGACGCGGGGCTCGAACCCACAAGCCATGAGATTATGACCTGAGCCGAAGTTAGATGCTTAACTGACTGAGCCACCCAGGTGCCCCTGTTTTGAAATTTTTCTAATGTCTGTGAATCCAAAGGGCCAGAGAGCTTGGGAGGAGAGACAGGGACAGGAAAGGCTTGGTATTTGTGTTCATTTCCTTGGTACTCAGAGTCTGATCAACTTGCACTTCCCCTTCTTACTCTCATATAGCCATGTGCAGGGACTTTAGAACGTCCCCAATTTCTGACGACTAGAGAGACAGAAAGGCCTCTTGTATTTAGTTACCTTAACGTGTTACAAAAGTCATCTGATGTTTCTCACAACTCAGAGCTGGGGGATTTTTGTCCCTGAGAAATAGACCTAGTGCTGAGGAAGTTTTATGTTGTTGATAGGCTAGTGATGTGTGTAACAGAGACAACATATCAATAGCCCCAGACAGGTTAATCTAATTCCACTTAGAATAATGCAGTTACCCCTGTAGACTACAGTCAGTTCTTTAGACCTTGGGCTCTACAGTTTAATGCTATTAAAAAAAAAAAAAAACCCACTTAAGTCACAATTGAAATTGCTGCAGTTTCTTTAAACATCTATTTCATATATGATAATGCATTAGTAGTTATGTTTGGGCCACATTACAAAAAGAAATTTTAACTTCTGTAACTTGCTAATAGACATTTAAATTTTCTTCTTGGGTGATTTCCATGGTGAGCAAGCGTGGCTATTATAGTTGATTCCTGACGAGTTTTACAACCATGAAGATACCCAGATCATTGGATCCCGCATTATCTGTTACCATAACATTACCATGCTCTTTAAAAATTGTTTAGTGTTTTAACCATAGGGAAAGGATGTTTGTCAATCAAACTAGCCTATTTTTGCAGAAGGGAAAATAAATGTTCGGAAGAGCCTGGGAGTCGAGGGGATCCACGGATAGACGCCAGAAGTGCCAGCTTTTCTGGCTTGTGCACTCACCTCCGTCTTTGCACCTAAAAGTGGAAAGGAAGAAAGTCCTGGGAACTTAAGTGGCATGGCATCCCTTTAACATCAAAAAGGTTTTTCCTTCTGCCTTCAATGCCTCAGCTGGTGACATCGACCCAAAAAATATTTTCTTTAAATAAGTAACTCCTAATGTTGCTTAAGCAACACATTTCCCTTCAAACTATAACTAATGAGGGGAAAGAGATCCTAGGAAGCACCAGAGAGCATGTCAGTGGCAGTCCCCTGGGCAAGTGGCTGCTGTGAGGTCTGTCCTGAGGTAATTCTCTTTCCTCCAAGCACAGAAGCCCTGTTCTCAGTAGACGGGGGCCTTCCCACCCATACTGCTTGGTTTTGTTTGTGTTTTTGGTTTTTTTAGTAAACTTATTTTTGAATAATTTTAGGTTTACAGATAAGTTACAAAGCTAGTTCAGAATTTCAGAATACCCTGCACTCAGTCTCCCTCATTGTTAACAATATTACCATGGGACCTTTGTCACGGTTGAGAAACTGCCATTGGTAGTGTTAACCAAACCCCAGACTTTATCTGGATGTCACCAGGGTCTCCATTAATGACTGCCTGTTCCCGGGTCCCATCTTTGTTGTCACATCTCCCCAGCCTCCTCTGGTCTGGGCCGTGTTTCACATGGCCTCCCCAGTCTTGAGAGGCACAAGCCACCCATCCGATGGGTTAGGTCTCCTTTTCCTTTTCAAGCTCCTGAGTAGAAAGAATTACTCCCTGAGGATCTGCGGGGCTGGGGGTGCACCGAGGGGCATCGGGAGCTGGATGTGTGGCATTTCAGCTCGCAGACATGCAGGGAGATCCTTGAAGCCTGGGGCATTTCCGTGTTTTGACCCTCCCTGTGAAACTGCCAGGTCCACACCCAAGCTTCAGCAAGCCTCACCTTGTGAACGTGACATCAGAGCGCTAGTGGACTCTGTTCAGAATGGCTTTCAGAGCTAGTCTGAGCCTCACAAAACACTATCTCATAACTTTATAGTTGGTCACATCACTTCGAAGCAGAACATTGTCTAGCCCCCAAAGAGCTTTGACTGTTAACTAAAACATATACATATATGTGCATACGTGCTCATTCATGTGTTTATTTCTCTTTCCAAAGATGCATGCACCCTTAGGGGCCGCATCAGAAGGAGCAGCTACAGCCACCATACTTCCCGCCCACGAAGTTAGGGAGCACATGAACATGTGCTTCTTCTGGTCTCGGAAGAGTCAGTGATGCAGACAGATCAGACTCTCTAGACGCAGAAAAGAACTGCTTGTTTTAATATGGCCTGAACCTGATTAGTGCCTCTGTAACCCAGAATGTCATGGGGGGGGGGGGGTTAATACATTTTAAAATGTTTGTTTATTTATTTTGAGAGAGAGAGAGAGACAGAGCATGAGAGCATGAGCAGAGGAGGGACAGAAAGAGAGAGAATCCCAAGCAAGCTCTGTGCTGAGAGCTCAATCCCACAGACCATGAGATCATAACCTGAGCCAAAATCAAGAGTCAGACTCTTAACTGACTGAGCCACCCAGGCCAAGTGGAGTGAGTACTCAGGCCAAGTGGAGTGAGTCTACACTGATTGCTTATTTGGTACTCAGGCCAAGTGGAGTGATTCTAACGGATTGCTTATTTGTGTGTACCCTGCCTCGCTCACAAGAAAGGCTTTGCAGTGGAAAGGTACCTTGACGGTGTGCCTTGGCTCCCTTCAGGCCACGTGGGGAAGTTTGAACAGCAGAGTTAGTGTTTCTGTGAATGTGTTTTCTATCCTAAGAGCCAGACCCTATCCTCTGGCTTAAAGAAAAGAAAAAAAAAAATTGCTCCTTTTCATGCTGCCTGAATTTGGGAACGCCCAGAAGGCTGCCTGTCCAGGGTCTTGCCGACAGGTCACAGGTCCTCTTTCTCTGCAGAGCTGGAGAAGGAGCTCTCCCGGAGGCCCAAGAAGGTCTGCATTGTGAAAGTGGTGGGAACCCGGAACCTGTGGAAAAACATCGTGGTCCTGTGTGTGAACTCGTGAGTCACAAGAGGGACACGCACAGGGTGGAGGTCAGGGAGAGGCTGGAGAAGACAGTGTCTGGAGGAGAGGCCGGCAGGGCCCTCCTCCTCCCACAGACGCGTCTTGAATTACAGCCATGGCACGGGGGCCTCTGGTCAGCCCAGGGCTTCGCGCTTGGCCACGGGGCCCTGGGTAAGTCTGAGAAGCCCCACGATCCCTGTGTAGACCAAGAAGGTCTTTCCCATCTTGACTCATAGCTGACCACACAGGGTAGCCCTCACTCAGGGTCAGAGGTCACCTCAGGTGAGGGAGGAAGTTAACTGTCATTTGATGTTAGAGACTACTGGGGGGCAGAGGGCAGGGTTTGCAGTCATTTGTGAAGGGCCTCAGGACTCCTGTCTGGGAAAGACACAGGCCCAGAGTTAGGGCTCCGTTCCTACATTCCCCACAGCTATTTCTATCAAAGCCACTCCACTTCATCAGTTCTCGATATTGGGGTTCCTCCTGACACCCTGATCCTACAGACAAGGAGGTGGAAGCCCTAGCCACTTGGCTGGTCAGGGCCTGAGCCCTCACGCCTCAGCCTCCCCACCCAGAGTTGGCTCCAGACATGGCCACTGTGCCGCTGTCCAGTCCTAGACAAATGCCAGCTAGGCTAATGGGACCATTAAGAAGGGAATGACCTTACCAACTTTTCTTTTGGAAAAAAAAAAGAAAACCAAATTGTGACACAGAGGAGATGCCAAGTTTCTATTTCAGTGCTTCTTGTTTGGGGGAAGGGGGATCAATCTCTCTGACCTTGTTAACTTAAAATTACCTATTGAGGTCAGAAGACTTCCTTCCTACCAGAACATAAAGGTAGGAGATTTCTCTGAGACCTTCACAGGATGAGAAACAGAACGTCATCTGGGATCCCCAGAGATTAACCGCATCTCCCTGGTTGCTAGATTATAAAGCGGCTGCCCCAGCAGGTCCTCTGCTGAGTATGTCCCAAGTGGAAATGAGTTCATTTGGCCAACAGCAGCCTCCCCCTGTGGGGACAAGGATCTGCTGCAGTTGACCTTGATGCATCCTCACGGTTTGATAAAAGCACTCTGATTTCCCCACAGCATGGAAGAGGGGGTTGGGAGAGAAGGACATTTGTCACTCTGGGGTGGGTGTTGAGCACTGACATAACGGGCACGCTCCCACAGCACTGCCCACGCGGTGAACATGCACCTGCTGCCTCCCCAGCTGCACAGGTGGATTTGTCTCCCCATCTCCCCAAGCAGACCTCTGTCTCTGGCAAGGGGGACACATGTTTCCCAGCAGGGTTATATGAACCTCTGGGGACAGTAAAGAGGCTTGAGCCGGGGCAAAGGGAAGGAAACGGATGGGAAACAGTGATAAATTACGAATGGAAACAAAGTCTTCAAGACCAGGTGGTCTTCATTTGGTCTGACTTCCTACTGGCTTCCCCACGGTGTGTTTGTCAGTAGCAGCAGGGAGTTCTGTGGGTGGATCCCCAAGTTTCCAGAACCCTGAGCACTGAAGAAGAGGCAGAGGCCCAGATAGGCAGCATGTCTTAGTAACCTTGTGCAAGCTGCTTACCCTCTTGAAGCCTTTTTGCCCCTCTGTAAAATGGGTCTGACCCTAGCTCTTACGGTGCTGACATGGATTCAGTGAGTTGAATGGGGAGTGCTTTGTCTACATCTTGATTTGTTTGATGGTGTTTGAACAGAATGTCTCACTGCTTGTATGCTTACACCCTTCTGCTCAAGTGATGGCCGAGGAGAGTGAGCCGGCACCCCATGAGAGGGCAGGCTGCCGTCATCTCTCTGAAGCCTCTTTGCATTGCATCCCATCAGACATTAGGTCATGGTAACAGCATGTTCTCTGTGATGTGTTGAGCTGCATATGTGTTTCCTGGGCACTGAGCCCTCCTGTCCTGTGCACCTGCACACCGCCCCCCTTGGTGTGTGCGTCTCCCACAGGCTGACGGGGTACGGGATCCACCACTGCTTTGCAAGAAGCATGATGGGCCACGAAGTAAAGGTGCCGCTCCTCGAGAACTTCTATGCCGACTACTATACCGTGGCCAGCATCGCCCTGGCCTCCTGCCTGGCCATGTGCGTGGTGGTCAGGTTCCTGGGGCGCAGGGGAGGGCTGCTGCTCTTCATGATCCTCACCGCTCTGGCCTCGCTCCTGCAGCTTGGGCTGCTCAACTGTGAGTGGGGGTTGGGGGCGTGGATGGGCCATGGGGGCAGAGGCTGGGGGAGGGGAGCTGGCCTATGACCAAAGGGTATTGAGCAGGGCTGGGTGAGACTTCAGGGAAGTTTTCTGTGACCCGAGCTATTATTCCAAAGCCAACAGCTTAAGGGAAGAGCCTTGAGAAGGACAAGTTTTAACTGGAATGTCCATGGTGACTGTCCCTGAGTGCACTGTGCCTTCCTCCCACTGCCCCAACCCAGCCCCCAGGGCTGCCACTTGAAGCCTTCCTTCTGGGCCTCACCACCATCCCCCGCACGTGAGGCCTTCCCAGTCCTGGTGGACATGACTTCACTGACGGCTGGACTGTTTGTGAAACATCACATGACCAGAAGAACAAAGCACTCTTTCATGGGAAACAAGGGGGACATTTGGACACCCCTGCATCGGGACACTGCTTGTCAGCAGATGTTCCCAAGTTTACCAGCTTGTCCTTGGGCCAAAGAATTCCTCGGTAAATGTTAAAAATAATTTAAAGGAAAACTAGGGGCTCCATGTAGTGCCTCCAGCTGTGGGAGGCATATTTGGTGCAGCTCCTCGTGCATGGAAAGGCACCAGGCATCTCTCTCCGACCCGCCCAGAGCGAGACAGGAAAGAGCTGGGCAGCGTGCCTGCTCTCAGCAGGCCTGGTCCTCCAGGGACAGGCTGGGACACCACAGGAAACAGATGCCACCAATCGTTCCCCAGCTTCACAGGGAGAGCCGACCCGAGGGCCGGGCATCAGACTCATGACTGTCCGGGGGCAGCGCGGAGCGGAACTGCAAGGAAAACAGCCTTCGCATCATCCACAGTGAGAGAGTCCGTATCCAGAACAGAAGAAAACACTCAAAGCTTTCGCAACCTCATTGTGCAAACCAGATTCAAGAACAGCTACTTGCAAACCCAGGAGCACTTTTTCTAATCTGCTCACATCCTCACGCACTCCGTATCTTGCTGGGAGAGTGGTCTTCTTTTCAGCTGCGACCAATAAGGAAACGGAGAAGTGGCATCTGGCTCCTGACCATCGCATCCCCTTGTGCAAGCTCATGAGCTTTGGGGGACAGCAGCAGCCCCTGGGAGTGTCGCAGATGCCCTCTTTGTCCCTGAGCAAGAACGTCTGGGGCGCTCTAGCACACAAGTAACTGCATCAGGGCTCAGAGCTCGCAGAAATGCCGTCTGACGGGTCTGCCCCCGCAGAACTTGCTGCTTCCTTGAGCCCAGACCAGCAGTGACTCTGGAATAATTTTCTTCACAATGAAATTAACCCTTTGGCTTGAGGTCTAGAAGGTGTGCTAGCATCTCCGTTCTGAAGAGTTCCATTTTCTCCCCACATTTGGAGGCCAGAGCGGTTTTAGTACCCTCCCCTCCAAATAAAACAAGCTTTGTTTGGTCAGGTGCTAATCCCCGTGTCCGGGGCTCTGTCACCCCCCAGTCTCTGCGTCCCTCCAGCACTTGGCCCCCAGCTGGTATTGGTCTTGCTCCCCAAGTGGGCATGGCCGGCTGGCAGTAGGGCCAACCCAGACGTGGAGGGGAGTTCGCTTAGAAACGGGTCCCATGGAAGAGCACCATGACAGCTTCATATCTAACGTGCGTTCTCTCTCCTCTCTTTACCCACCTTCTTCATTCTCGTCCACATGGGCCCAGTGATTGGGAAATACAGCCAGCATCCAGACTCAGGTGAGCCCCAAATGCCCGTGCTGTGTGCATCACCATCTTTTTATTGTACTCAGTTGGGCGTTTTCATAAAGACTCACAGACCTGTGATTTCCCTTCCCTCTCTTTCTCCTTCTCTCTTCCTACCCTTCAAGAGTTGCAGCTGAAGTTGGCCGTAGGTTGGACACTATAAGCATACATTTGTATTCTCTACTCCCTCTTGCCTCTAGAAAGAGCACCTCGTTTCCCCGTTTGCGCCCAGCTTGCACGCATGGCCTCACGTCTTCCGCCGGCATGGGCGGTCAGCTCAGGGCCCTTCTGGTGCCGACGCCCTGCTGCGGTCTGTCTTTCGGACAGTGCCTGGGTGACGTCAGAGAACCCCAGGGAGCGTTGGAGGCCTGGCTGACAGTGCTGCCCGGGGAAGCTGCTGTCCCCCTTTGTGAACTGCAGACGCTTGCTGCTCTTGGCTTTGGGGATTGCAGAGCTGGTGCCCCACATCTTGCTGGTCACATACACTTGGCCCGACTCGAGCCTGTGCTGCCAGGGCTCTCTGCAGGGGGCTCCCTGAGTTCATGATGCAGCCTTATAGAGAACTGAGCTGTGCCCCATATGTATGACCCCAAGAGCATGCCAGTGTCCTGTGCTAGATGCTGCCTGGGTGTGTGGTCAGACTCTGGTGCCATTTGCAAGAAGCCTGGATGGGTTGAGCACTGGCCCTCCGGGCCATAAATTCTTCTCTTTGGTTCGAGTTTTTGTTCCCTTAAATCCAGCGTAGTAAACCCTGTCCTGTGTACTGGATGGGCCAGCCCTGAGGCCAGAATAGCAGAGACCTCCTTTCTCTGAAGGCTGGGACATTGCTAGAGCACCGGAGAGACCACCAGCCTTCCCTCCTGCCGGGTCTGGCTTGTGGCCTAAGGAATTCCGGCAGAGTCAGTGTGAGCTCTAGCATTCAAGGCCCGCAGGGTCACGGGAATCCCAACAAAGTCTTCTGCCAAGAGGGTCTGACCTCTTACACCTGGACATGCTCCTGAGTCTCCAGAGGGAACTGAGCACCCTAGTCTGCACCCCGAACTGGGGAAGGGGGAAGACCCTTCCTGTGGTCCCAGGCCTTTCCCCCCTCCCCTGTCCCACTGCTGTCTCTGCACCCCTCCCTACCCCCACCTGCCATGCCAGCCTCCTTTTTCCCTTCTCTCCTGCCCCCCTCACTACCTCCCTGTGATTCTCCCTCAGGTATGAGTGATAGTGTCAAGGACAAATTCTCCATCACGTTTTCCATCGTGGGCATGTTCGCCTCCCATGCAGTGGGAAGCCTCAGCGTGTTCTTCTGTGCAGAGATCACCCCCACAGTAATCAGGTACGTACTGGGACGTGCCCCCCAGGGCTTCTTCTCCCTAGGACTCAGGGGAGGGCGGGATGTTTAGCAGGGCTTCTGTGGAATGAACCAGCATCAGCTTTGTCCTGCCCTGGCCTCCTGACAAGGATGCAGCTTGTGTGCTGTGCATGTCAGGGCCTCGGATGGGGAAATTTGCCCTGACTCTGAGGCAACTGAGAGTCAGCCGAGAACTTGACCCTGGGGTCCATCCAGGCAAGGAGCCAGAGGAACAGGGAGCAGGAAACTTTTCAGGGTACAGAAAGCTCGTGCTTTAACTTCTTTTGTTTTAGTTCACGAGGTAAGGTTTTATCTTTTCTCCTACTATCCCCAGATAAGCAGTACATGGATCCTTCACACCGTTGATGCTGGGAAGATCACAGCATAATAAAAGGGTTTGCCTTCAGTTAAAAGGGCATCACTTAACTACAGAGTCATGTCATTTTCCTGGTAATTACTGTCTGTGACTTATGGAAGAGCCCATCTTGATTTACATCACACTGAGCTTTGCCTGGGAATATCATTAGCATGTTTATTAACACACATGCTTTTTAAAAAATAGACATTGTGAATAAATTAGGCAATTATTCAGCCATGAACTAAAACGCAGAAGTCAGCATGACGCCACCCATCCACACTCACTTGCCCACATGAACAAACAAGTGGAGCCTAGGACAGTTCAAGGCAGGACTTGTGCAGACTAATTATTTTAGCCCCTCAGGTGCTGCATAGGCTCTGGGAGCAGATAGGTAGGTTCGTGGACTTTGTTCTTACATTTCCACTAGTCATGCTGACCAGAGAAATTTCACATGACCTCATTTTGCTTCATTCTCCTGGATTATTACAGTACATGCCAAGGAATTGTATATTTAAGGGGGAAAAAGCAATTAAATGCCAAGTAATGCATCCTGTTCCAACCGTCTGCTAAGCCAAAGTGAAGAGCCTGAAGCTTATTTTTCATGCTAGAGGTTGCAAAATGCCTTAGGCGGACAGGATCTCCCTCGGTGTCCTTTCTTTACCTAGTTAAATTTCCTTCCTTTACAAAAGAACACAGCAGAGAGGGCTCTTTCATTAGTGCCCAAGTCAAGGTTGGACCTTCTGGCTTTCCACCTGGCCTCCCCACAGATTTGTATGATTATGTATCATTCTCTGGAGGCAGCCGGCCACCTCTGAACTCTAGGAGTTGGTAGACCTCATTAGTCATTGTTAGATTTTGCTTAACAAGCTAAACTGAAGGAAATACAGTATCCTTTTCCTCTTTGATGCAGACCTGGAAAGGGAATGATTTGGGACTAGAAATTCAACAAATGTGTTCTTAGATTTGGATTGCCAGGATGACACACTGGAAAAACTATTTGACCCTTGGTGATGTTTTTGTACTTGTCGAGGATGAAAGGATATCAAGTCCAAAGGGGGTCTCAGGCCAGGAGGGAAGAGTTTCTGATGTCGCTCCCTTACCCTTCCCTTCGGAGTCTCTTTCTTGCAAATACACTCAGGGACAGTTCCCATGGAATCCCTGGACAGAAACTGACCTCCCTTCCCTCCCCCTACTTTACAAAGATAAATCCAAGATAAACTAGGATAAGCACTTGGGGTATGTGAGCTTCATTTATTTTTTTCTTTTTCTCACTGAAGCGTAATTGACATCCAGTGTTCTGTTAGCTTCATTTTTCTTCCTACAAAACTAACCTTTTCCTACAAGGCTGTTATTAAAAACATAACCTCGTGAGTCAGGACAGTAGCCAAGGTTAAGATGCCAGGATTAACTAACTAGAAGCAAATAGGAGGATAAGAACGTTTTTTGAACAAAGGCTTGTGGAAATCCATTGTCTAAGAATGACAGAGACTCAGGGAGCCTGGGGGACTTAGTCACATGCAACTCTTGCTTTCAGCTCAGGTCACAATCTCCAGGCCTCAGGATCAATCCCCACCTTGGGCTCTATGCTGAGCATGGAGCCTGCTTAAGATTCTCTCTCCCTCTGCCCCTCTCCCCCACTCTAACACTCTCTCTCTCACTCTAAAATTAAAAAAAAGAAAATTAATGTTTAAATTTTAAAAAATGACAGAGACTCACTAGAATCTGCTGAACTAATTAATACCATTGTTTCACGAGAGTCCATCCTGACTTTATATTGCAGAGAAGCACTCTCCTCTAATCTAGGCATGGTCCAGATGCTGTTCATTTTCATCAGCTGATGCAACAAGTTGTTCTTTGACTCTCTTCTTGAGGCTTCAGGAGTTGGGTGCCTCAGCAGGCAGATGTGGAAGACCCCATCTGCAGCACCCTCTCGCATTTGGCTTGGTGAGAAGTGGGTGGGGGCCCTGGTAGAAGCAGTTGGTGGTTTTTTTGTGCAAGATCCTCTTTTCCATGCAGTGTCCACCTGGAAGCTGCCTGAGGCCTTTGCTGTCTTGCTCACCCCTCACAAAAATGGGGTCAGTTAACAGAAGAGGCAGTCACTGTGGATAACAGGCCTGTTTCATTTTCCAACAATTCCACTCAGGAATCTCTGTGTGGGCCTTGGCTGTTAATTCTCTGTTCTGTCTGAGCTTATCATATGCTCCTTCCTGGTATCTTCTCCTGCTTTCCCCCCCTTCAGGCTACCCCACCCCTTTCTTCTAGAAACTTCTTTCTTAGAACTTGCCTTTTCTGAGAGCTTCCTTCTGAGTAACTCTTCCCTATTTCCACGTCAGGACGAAGAACCTGGGCCCTGATGTCCTCCTTTCTAAAGGTGCCTCAAGGACAGAGATGGCCTGTGTGTAATGTGACATCTGCAGTCTGTTTAACTTTTCTGAAGATTTGTGTCTTGTGTACATACATACATATATAACAAGTGCTAAGGGCCAAGGAGCCAAGGCACATAGGCTAGTTCAACAGCAGGATGAAGAACAAAGTGCAGAGGATGCAGCCTAGAGCCTCAGACTCAGATCTCCAGCACAGGGAAAGAGTGGGACGGACCTGTGTGTGATCCCAGGGGCCACTTTTTTGTGTGGCCTTAGGCAAGTCCCTCTGCCAGCCTTCATTTAGCCCTTTTGCCCTAACATGAAACTCATTATGACTGCCTTGTTATTTGGCAGGGATGCTGAGGGGAGAAGGAGTATATAGAAAGGGTCCAGCCTCAGCAGATTACAATGTATGTTATGAATTATCCCTACCTGAATATTTTTGGCAGTTATATTTATTTCTGTAACTATTGGCACAAATTTTTGTCTATCCTTGACTTCACAGAAATGCAGTAAAGACAAATTAATATAAAAGGAAGTGAGGGGCACCTGGGTGGCTCAGTCAGTTAAGCGTCTGACTTCAGCTCAGGTCATGATCTTGTGGTCTGTGAGTTCGAGCCCTGCAGCGGGCTCTGTGCTGTCAGCTCAGAGCCTGGAGCCTGCTTCCCATTGTGTCTCCCTCTCTCTCCCCCCTCCCCTGCTCGTGCTCTGTCTCTCTCAGTCTCAAAAGTAAATAAATATTTTTTAAAAGTTTTAATAAATAAATAAAAGAGGAAGTGAAAACTGGGAGGTTCATTCTCTTTAAATGCAAGATGCTGGGATTCTAATGATTTCAAGATTCTAGAAGTCTTCATTTAAGCTTGCTACTTCTAATAGTTAGTCGACCTGTGTATCAGTCTTTATATCTTTAATTAACATGCTATTACTAGTCAGATAATAGCCAGTGGATATTAAAATTTTTCTGCTTCTAAAGCATGAGGATGCAAAATTTGCCCCCTGGTTCTCTTTTAACTGTAAATTGAGGCGGCTGCCTGCTGTGATATTTAAACATGGGCTATGCTGCCCTCTAGTGACAATCTAAAGAAAAGCAGAAAATGCACAAAGCATTTTAAAGGAGTAGTAATATTAATAATGACCCCATTCTCTAAACTGAGATTTCAAAAAGATAACACCAAGCCAAAAATGGTATACCAAATTCTTCCAAAAGCATCCCTCACCTTACTGAGCAATTTCAAGGTATCCTTGATAGAAAACCAAATAGAAAATTGCTTTCATGGGAAAAATATGATATTTATATGCGCATATTATATACGCATCTTATATGTGCACACACATATGTAAATACTTTTCTTAAATTAGCTGTCTAATCCTACCATAGATCAAATATATATGGCATGATTTATTAGCATTAATATTACATATTTTTGCATCATAAAGTGAGACTTTCATCCCATGCCAACTTCTTAAACGGTGAATCTGTGCACCCCTTCCTCGTGGGCTGTGTCCTCTACCCTCCTGTATATTAACTCATGTGTGGACTTTATTCACAAGGTAAGTCTCTCTCACTGCTTGTTAGTGCCGCCCACACTTGGTGACAAGCAGAAACCCAGGATGTTTCAGAGAAAACGATGTCTTGCTGGTATTAATGGCCCCAGGGAAACATATCCATTACCCCCGGCATCTAGTATGTCCCTTGCAGCATCCTGTGGCTTCCCGAGTGGCCAAAATTATCAGAAAGACTGCTATTTTGGGTGTTCATATCATCCATCTTACAGATGGTTTTACTCACATTGCCCTTCATAATGGCTGTCTATATTTAAACGGCCCCATTCATTTGGGTGAGCTGACCTTCCTACTTAGGAAGCCAGTATAGTCCACAAGCATCCAATATTTATTAGGCATAAATAATATGTGCCAGTTGGTATTCTAGAAAATAATTCTTGCCCTTGACAAGACCATAGACGAAATGAAAATGGTAGGCATATGAAGAAATGCTAACAAAAAGGTACAGAGTACGTTAAAAAGTGGTCTAAGACCCTCTGCCTGGGAAGGGGATTGATACCTGGGAGATCTCCCCTAAAACTATTGCTATTCCTTGTGTCCCCAGTAGCACAATGGTGTGTGACTATTCCTACAGTACATCCAGTCTCTCTCCCTTGGTGAAAGGCTTTCTTTTTTTTTTTTTTAATGTTTATTTTTGAGAAAGGGATAGGGAGAGAAAGTGGGGGAGGGGCAGCCAGAGGGGCAACAGAGGATCCAAAGCA